AGCTAAAACTTACATTGTCAGAAAATATGTTTTTAGAAAACTAGCTTGGTTTCTAAGTAAAAACTACTTGAAGTGAAAAACTACTGTGGTTTTCACTTTAGAAATTGTAGAATTAGGTAGCTATCCAACTTTTAATTCACTAGAATTGAAATATTCAATATACAACCCTGGTTTAATACGGATCCTCCCGAAAATTATAGCGGATCTATTTCAGAGATAGAATTTATACTTCTAGGACAAACGGTGTCAAACTCGCGTCATGTCAGCGTCACGTGATGTATCAGGACTTTTCCCCCCTTCGCTAAACTGGGCATGGTCAGGGCCAGCACTTGACGCATCTGGCCCATGGGCCATGAGTTTGACACCCCTGTTCTAGGATGTAGCTTTTGACAAATCTAATGAAACACTTAAAGAGATGGTTATCAAATTAGGTACTAATATAAAATGTAATTTAATTGACATTGCAGGAGAAATAGTTTATATCTTTAATATTCTATAATCTTTGGTACAAACAACCTAAGTTTCTATTGTTTAAAATATTTACAAACCTCAGAGAGACATATATATGCTGCTATCTCCCAAGTTTATTTTTCCCTCCTGGGGTTTTCTTAGTTGACCTTATAGTAATTTTCAACATGGAAGCAGTTGCAATGTTGGGAGCTGCTAAAATAAATGCATGCGTGCTCTTATGGATTGTGGCCAGTTTGTTTGACATTACCTCAGATAATGGTATTTTTAACAACAAAGTTAAAGGAAGCAAGCAGCACATCCTAATTCTTTAGAATTGCCATGGACATTTACTAATAAAATCACTTTTGTTAAGAATTGCTAAAACTACACCAAAGAACTTGGAATTATTTATTTTTATTTATTATTTTTAAAAACATTTTTAAGATGGGACCCCTTTGGATGAGACGCCCTTTGGATGCTGTGTAATGCAAGAGGGTCACTGCTGAATAATTTATAGCATTGTCTTTCCAGAGACCTTACCTAAAGGGCAGCTCCACCACTCCTAACAGTTTAGGAATAAACAATTAGAACTGTAAATGAGGCCTTTTCTTTGGAAGTGCAGAGCACTCCTCTTAAAACTATTAGGCTGGCCCTAATTATTTTAAATTTAATTTATTCCAATATCATGTGTACTGGGGCATTTCAGTAACGTATAGGATTTAAGATTTGATGATTATAATCCAGTATTGCACAATTAGCAGACTTAACTATTTTTTAATTATAATCTGTTGAACAGGAAATCAGACCATGTTTTATTTGTGGCCATTTAAATCCATTTTTTTGTTATCTTCCACAGCCATGCACTGTATTAGAATAAAAGGACTTTGGTTATTAAAATAAAAGTATGGGAAATGGTTGGCTTGAATGGAAAAAATACATCTATTTCAGTTTGAAAAGTGATTAGTAGTTTATTGCCTGTTCTTTATTCCTTACTTTTTTAAAAGAGCAAATCTGTATATTAATTCAAGTCAATGCGTATAACTTTTTTCCAGCCTATATGCTTTTGGACCTGGTTAATCCATGCCTCATTTTTACATCTGGCTGTATACTCCAATGAGTAAAGTGATCATTAGTCCATGTGCATGTACTATCAGTTTGTCTTTTTTGAGGCTTTTTAATTTAAATAAAAATAGTTTATAATTTGGATTAACCAGGTTTGATTGTTCCATTAAGATGTCTCACTTTTTAGTTCTAAATAATTTTACTATAATTCTAACCATGTTTTGTAAAAAAATCACTATGACATGCAAGATGTACATACTGGTTGTTACATTAGATACACAGAAGAAGTTTTAAGACCTAGAGAAAAATATGCACATCCTACATTCAAAAACCTTTCGAAAAAGAAACATAACCAGTGAGCTTTAGAAGAATACAGAATTGAAAAGCTAAGTCCACATGCATGCTAAGCCACCACTTGTTTTTTTCACGGTTAAGTCACAACAGCTGGCTTCATGCATCATACTAGGTCAAAACCAAGCCTTATGATGTGTGAAACCTCTCAGTGTGAATGATGGCTTAGCATTATGAGCAGACTATAATACTTGGTTGTTCATTAAACATATTAATACAATCTCGATTTACTACAATGTGTGAACTGACCCTATACTATAAAGGTATATCCAATTCTGTATATCTCTTACAGGACTTCTTTATTAATGGTATCAAAATAGCAACACATAAATAACCTTAATTTTATGAGCTAGGAAAATAAGTCATCTTCCAGGTTTTAAAGTCCATGATAGAAGTTGGTGTGTTTTAAACAACTTTAATCATATCTGGGATAGTCAAAAAAATTGAACAAAAGGATCCATTTTCTCATGTGTTACAGGAAACATTAGAATGGAAGTGCACAACTTGTCTCCACTGAATTTCACCATAAACAATGATTTATTGCAATTGCCCACATTTGATAAAATAACAGAAGTCTTGCAATATAGCTCTGCTTATGTTATACATTTAAATTAATTTCTGCTCAGTATTTTTAGATTTAAAACCCAGCAATACTTTTCCTTTGATCATAGATTAGGGCTATCAAACTCCCAGCCCACTGGCCGGATGCTTCATGTCCTGGCCACGCCCATGCTTGGTTTAGCGAAGGGGGGGAGTCCCGATACATCATGTGACCCTGCCGTGACGTGAGTTGGATACCCCTGTCGTAGATAATGGATTTATAAATGTAGCAGATGGTCACACAGTACATTTTTACATTTTCTCCTTTGAAATCAAGTGTAGCTTTTTCTCTTTTGCTATATATTGTGTATATACAGTGACCATATTTTCTTAGAAAAAATAAAGCGCAAAATTGGAAGAGGTGCATAATGATAAAAACATGTTTGTTTAAAACTTTGCTTTGCAAAATAAAATTCAAGATCAAAACCAATAAAATAAAGGACAGCTTTCTGAAATAAAGATGGTTCTTTATAATAAGGGACTGTCACTGATGTATATATGATGACAGGTGTAATTAGTATCAGTTTTCTATATGTTTAATTTCAAACAAAGTTTTTAATAACTAAAGAAAATAATTTGTCCATTAAGAATAAAATGAATAGTTAAGTTTCCTGCTTCCAACTTTTCATAAGCAGATAGATGTAGTTTGAACAGGTTACTGCTTTGTTAAATTCTAGTAAGCTCATGCTTATTAGTTATCTAGACCAGGGGTGTCAAACTTGCGGCTTCACATGATGTATCGGGACTTTTTTCCCCTTCACTAAATCTGGCAGGGGCAGGATCAGCACATGACCCATCTTGCCCACGGGCCGCGAATTTTATACCCCACTTGTTTTCTATTAGCCTTTTCCCAGCTGCTTTCAGTTTTTTTAAGCACCAGGTTCTTCTCCCATAATTCTTTGCATTTGCATTAAGCATCTAAAACACTGGTTAGCTTCATTATTAGTAGATTCATTTATTCTCAACTATTTTCTCCAAGATCACAATTCAAAGGATCTTTTTAACCAGCCTTTCTGATCAGACACTTTCCACCTGAGAAAAACCATAGCTTTACAATACATTTATATTGTTTAAATAATGACCCATCTAACTTAACTGACTCAGCTAAGATGAAAAATACCAAGCAAATTCTCATGTCCACATGATACCTGTATTTCAAACATTCTGTCCAGGTTTGTCAGGTTTTTTCAAAGTTGCAGATATCTATTTCATAACTACAGTTGCTGTCCCTGTCAATTTTTAACCCTTGGAAGTGAAGTCTGTTATTACTATTGCATTTGTTTGCATTATATGGGCATTGTGTGATGACATCTCAGTGGGTTACTTTTCTTTTTAAAGAAACAGATTAGTTTTTGCACTCCCATCTTTTATCAAGAGAATCCTTAAGGTTTCTTCAGCCATCAAGCAATGCCAGTTTATCTGAAATTTTCAGTGTTTCTCCCAACAATTTTAATTCCAAATTCTATTTATTTTAATCCAACATTTCTCCTGACATTCTGAACACAAACTAAAATACAGTATGGAGACATAGAAAAGAGCCTTGGTACATTCCTTTCCACTATTTATTACTTCCACATTTCATTCTGTCGCATCCTGGTTGTCATGCAAATTTTTCACTGGCAAATGAGATAGTCTGGTACACCAATCTTTTCATGAGTTCTTTACAATTTCTCATGGCCTGTCTTTGGATATTTTTCTATTATCCATTTGATGTTAATGTTGTTACCTCAGGTTTCTATTTTCTGAATTCGGCTTGCATATCTTGGCAGTTATATACCATGTATTATTGAAGCCTGGATTACAGAGTTTTGGGCATTTTCTAGTATGTAAAATTATTGAGAGATCTAAAAGGCCAAATTGAAGGCATATCATGCTGGAAAAAATGAATTTGCATAGAATAGTTGACTCCAATTTGATAGTAGTTAATAAATCATTTTATGTTAAGTGCAATTAGCAATTTGAGCATTTGTTTGTAGGGTCTTTTGATATTGCAATATAAAAAGCTAGCTTCTTGTCCCCTGGTTACTATTCTTTTCCATGTCTGCCCCTCTAATTGCATCAACTTAAATATTTTTAACCAGTCCTCCTGAAATTCTGTTAATTCCTGCAGCTTTGTTTTCTATATTTTCTAGGGCCAAATTCACTTCCCATACTGTTCGGCAATACTTCACATATCAAACCCTTATTCATTCTGTCTGAATGGTAGAAATCTACCATACAACTTAAGGCCACTGATCAATCTGATTATTTAAATGGAAAAGTAGATCTTTAACGTTTCTGCTATCTAACAGAATTTGGGTCTTTCTCCATTCAGCAAGCTATAGTATAATTTTTACTAATAAAAACAATGTTACAGAAAAATTCGTTAACCTGAATTACAGGAGGACATTGCTGATTCCCTCGTGTATATTTTTCTCCAGAGTGTGGAAAGTTCCTCTAACTAGTTATTATAAACTCTGTTCTACTATTTATCATTCCTTTTATTCATACATACTAAGTTCAAATATGGTAAGTCATAATTGGCTTGGCCATAGTTTAGGTAATAGCATGCTAAGCCAAATCAAATCATATTAAGGCTTTGAAAAATACATAAATCCTGATAAGATCTACATTATCTAGCATATTCACAAATGTCTTCTGTGTGATAACTCCACACGTGTATCTTCCATAAACAACCAGAACATATTAACTGAAGCATGGATCTATATTGTATACATATTATCATAATGGTTGGGGGGGGTATGAGAGAGAGGGGGGAGGTCTACTGCAAACATTGGGATCAAATGTTCCTTTTTGCCTTTTCTTTTTGCACACCCTCAAATCAGCCCAGTAACAAAGTAAAATAATTCTTTTTACTTTAATAATATATAAACATGTGATTGTGTATATTTACAAAAAATGATAATGAAATGGGTCACAAAGCAACAATTTCTAAAACAATATTTTCTAAAATGAAACAGGTAATCAGTCTTACGGTTAATATATGAGTAGGTCTGAGTTGTAATCATGCTGGCCACATGACCACAGAAATATCTGCACAATGTTGGCTCGTTTGACTAAGAAACGGAGATGAGTCCCGCCCTCTAGAGTTGGAAACAACTAGGCAGGAAATTTTTACCTTAAGGTCTGAATATTTCAATTACAGCAGCAGAGTGCACCAATGAAAGCCCTGAAGGATCAGGATAGGGACAGATAACGCTTAGAGATAATTTATGTGGTCACTTAAGTCAATACAGTACCAACTTGATGGCGCTTGAGTTCACCAAAACACATTATTTTTTATTTGAAACAAGACAGATTAACAAAAATAAATTTTTCTGAACAAAATGCAGCCGGTATTCGTATTTTAAGCAAACTTTGAAACTTAGTTTCATTTATTAGTTTAGAATCCATTATGTACAGACAATTCAGTGTTGAATTCACTTTTCTTCCAATTTCTGGTAATATTTCTCAGCCTCTTTCCTACGGTAAACATCATCTGCAAAACATTAGTGATCATTTCTATGAACTTTTTGAAAATACTTCATTTAACATAATTAACTTGCAATGTTTCAAGCTTAAAATGATGGGCAATTCATGCAAGATCAAAAATATAACAAGGAAATTACCAAGGGCAACCTTATTCTATCATGAATTCCACAGTCTGGTGGAATTACATTTTGATTCTGACATACTTTTTTTAAACTAATATCTACTTCTCTTATTTGAGTAAAGTGGGATAGATTAATTTCAAACTTTAAAAACTTAAAATTAGGACTAAGTTTGTCCATTTCTAAAAAATGCAAGAGTTTAGAAATTTGTTTTCTGGTTTGTAAAATGGTCAGATCAGTCTGAAGCTAACACCTCTATCTGCAGTCATTTTAGTAGTTTTTCACCTAATCTTCCAAAATACAATTGGAAGATTATCTGAATATTTTATCAACACTTAAGCTAAAAGTAAAACCATGTTTCTCCAGTGTGGTAATTTGTAGTTTTCTCAGGAACAGTATGCCTGCCAATAGGTTTTAAGATGACACTGAATCTTTACTTTGAAATTTTAAGTTAATTCCATGCTACTCATCTTATAAGAACACTTGAGGGCTTTGATTCCAAGCAAAGTAACAGAATAACAGAGTGGGATGGGACCTTGGAAGTAGTCCAACTCCCTGCTTAGGCAGGAAATCGTATAACATTTCGGACGAATTTCAGACAAATAGTTTGTCCAATTTTTTCTTAAAAACCTCCAGTGTTTGAGCACCCACAACTTCTGGAGGTAAGTTGTTCCACTGATTTAACTATCAGGAAATTTCTCCTTATTTCTAGGTTGCATCTTTCTCTGATTAGTTTCAACCCATTGCTTCTTGTCCTGCCCTCAGGTGCTTTGGAGAATAGCTTGACTCCCTCTTCTTTGTGGCAGCCCCTGAGATATTGGAACATTGCTATCATGTCTCCCCTAGTCCTTCTTTTCATTAAAGTAGACATAACCAATTCCAGCAACAGTTCTTTATATGTTTCAGCCTCCAGTGCCCCAATCATCTTTGTTCTTCTCTGTACATTTACCCATTGAAAGTTTGCCTTAAGTTCTTCCTTTTTTAATAAAAGCTGAATATCAAACAAATTTGATTTTTTCAGTGTAATTATTAGGAAAGATATAGACATTAATAAAACATAATTAAGTCATGTATGTTTAAATATCTAGAACTTTTTAAAAAGTTTAATGATACTTACAAAAGGTCTGGTTGCCAACTGGAACATTAATCATAAACCATTCCATAGCACCACCGAGAATGAAGTAGAAAGGAAGAAATCTGTACACACCAAACCGTTTCTTTCCAGGTACTTTATTAATTAGTTGAGTTATTTTACTACTGGCAGACATTTTAAGAAGAATTTAAGGCTCGTCGTAAGAAAGTTAAGGTGATTCTGAAACACATTGAACAAAATATTTTATATATAAGGCTCTCCAAAATATGGTTAACCAAATGTATAAAAATATGGAAAGGAATAAAATTCTATTTTATCTTCGCATATTTCACATTTGATTAAACCTGGGCTCATAAAGATACAAAACTAAAAAATGCAGCATTATTACCTATAATATTACTATTACAAATCTATTTAATTCATTGTGAGTTAATTCCAAAACACTAAAGCACAGATAGCAATAGCACTAAGACTTATATATTGCTTTATAGCACCCTAAGTAGTTTACATTGACAATTATGCATTCTATCATTTTTACCTCTGCTACTAAAATCCTTGCTGAGCATTCTTGGGGAATTGAGAATGTGGAGTCCTTCAGTGCTCTGAGCTTAGTTGTTTTCTTGCAGGTTTCATTACCCAACTTAGCAACATCATCAGGTATATGAAGAATACAATATAAAGACTTTGACTTAAGATAATTCTATCTTGTTCAATACCACCTAATGAGGACCAACAACTTGCTAAAACCTAGGACTCTTTTGTAATGGTTGTTTTCAGTAACCATTGATTTCAGCTTACTGTAATATACAATTTGAAATGCAAAGCACTCTAACAACTAATTTTGCAAACATCCTAAATACCCAGTTTGCATTAGCAGTCCATCTCTAGATAAACCATGATTTAGGACCAAGTATCTATTAATAACATTCATATTGTACTTATACATGTTTTGCTTTTACTGATGGAAAATAAAGAGATCATTCCCAGAGTTTATGTTAATCTTTCACCTCTTTCAGATCCAGTTGTGAATAGCAATACCATTTCGTTACCAATACCAAGGAAGCACCCAAAGCCAGTTAATGTCTACTTTTACGTAAAGGTTATCCATCAGAGATCCATCAGAATTCCCAGGGTCTGAAAACCTTGCAAGTTTGGCGTAGTGGTTAAGGCACCAGGCTAGAAAGCAAGAGGCCATGAGTTCAAATTCCCCCCTTAGCCACAGTTGGGTGACCTTGGGCCAGTCACTCACTCTCAGCCCAACTCACCTCACAGGGTTGTCGTGGTGAGAAAAATGGGAGGAGGAAGAAGTGTTGTATATGGTCGCCGACTTGAGTTATTTGTGAAAATAATAAAGAGGATACAATAAAGAGGATATGACTATAATCAAGGACCCGTGCTCACATAACACACTCTTTGCAAGGCAATGCTACTTTCCACTCCAACCACTCTGTGGGATACAGTCAATCAAAGAGGCTGGTCTCGATTCTAGCGCAGACCAACAACCACACTACCAACCAGTCACCTTTTAGGACTGTAAGGGGAAAAGTAGGACGCGCAGGACACGAGAGCACAACGGGAAGAGCAACGCCCTCCCGTCTGACCGCTACGCACCAGCGTCTTCCGAAAGATGCGATTGGTTACGTGTTGTGCGTAGGAGGCGTGGCCCGCCCGTGTTTGAACGGAATGAGCGTAAGGGTTTTCCGCGCAGTGTGGCTGCTACGCCAGCTGAGATTCTCAAACTTTTTGGGCGCTAATGGCGTTCCTAAAGCCCCAGGGAAGGAAGCCCTGTAACTTGCTGCTCAGTTCAGTTGCAAAAACCGGCCAGGCGAAACATTTAGAAGCCTCTGACCGCCTCCTGTCGGAGCGGAAGTCAAGGAATCCAGCCTCTTATCCAAGGCAAGGGTCTTCAAACTTGGCAAGTTTAAGACTTGTGGTCTTCAACTCCCAGAATTCCTCCTCCAGTCATGTTAGCTCAGGAATTCTGGGAGTTGAAGACCACAAGTCTTAAAGCTGTCAAGTTGGAAGACCCTTGTTCTTATCTGTCTCCCAACATGTTTTGTAAAATATTGGGCAACTCATTCTGTGCAAGAGCAACTCAAGCAAAGTACAGTTTTTAAATCAGGTGTCTGTAAGATCGCAGGAGCAGGTAGTCTGAATTGGCATACATTTTATCCATCGAGAAATAAGAGAATAGGGCTTTCTGTACGTATTCGTTTTATTCCTCCATTTGTCATATTCTGCACTGCTACCGTATTACTGTCAAATCTTGTCATCACTCCTTATCACCCATCCCCTCCCACTTGTGACTGTATGACTGTAACTTTGTCACTTGTATCCTAACAATTTATATTGACTGTTTCCTAGTATGATTTGATTGCTTATTGTACCCTATGACTATCATTAAGTGTTGTACCTTATGACTCTTGACTCTTTAACGAATGTATCTTTTCTTTTATGTATACTGACAGTATTTGTATCAAGACAAATTCCTTGTGTGTCCAATCACGCATGGCCAATAAAAGTATTCTATTCTATTCTATTCTATTCTATTCTATTCTATTCTATTCTATTCACCGAGCATTCTTATAAGGGAAAACAGGTCCTATTTTTTTAAAAAAAGGTTTGTCTTGAAAACTTACTTTTATTCGACTTATCCGAATAGCCAATGGTTTAAAGCAGAGGTCTCCAAACTTGGCAACTTGAAGACTTGTGGACTTCAACCCCCAGAATTCTCCAGCCAGTTATGCTGGCTGGAGAATTCTGGGAGTTAAAAGTCCACAAGTCTTCAAGTTGCCAAGTTTTGGGACTCCTCGGAATCACAGTTTCTGAGAGGAAAACACGCCCGCCCTAAACATTTTAAATACCCTCGAGCAAGGAGGACCAAAAGGATCTTGGGAGTCGTAGTTCTTGTCTGTGTTCCAACAATGGGGGCGTGGGGGGGAGAAACCTCACAGGAGCTGGTTGAGGGAGAGGACAACACAAAACATTGAACAAACTACAAATCCCGAAGCGGCGGCGGCACTTGTGCTTAGAAGAGCCTCCGCCTCCTCAACAAGTCTTGGGCTGGAGCCCTGCTGGAGCCTTCTCTTATTGACTGCTTGCTCTCAGGCGGGTCGGATGGCTGAAGGAGTCCGTTGTTGTTGTTGTCCGGACTGGCGGACGATGCAGTTGAGGAAGATTGGGGTTGGGGGCTCTGAGGTGATGGCCTTGTGAACTCATCTCAGGGAAGAGGCTCTCCTCCCCGTAGAGGCCATGGCGGCGGCTGGACTCAAGGCTACGAGCAGCGGCGTGTGGAAGAGCGTCGGCATCCTTCAACGGATGGTCCCTGTTTTCAGCCACGGCAGCAGCAGCAGCTGCTGCTATTATACGGGTTCCGACGTTGGATCGGGGCGGGTGGGATGCAGGCACCAGTGGACCCATCAGCCGCAGTCAGAGGAGCATTGTCTCCCGGCGTGGGGCTCCTCTGCGATGGGCGGCAAAGCGAAGAGGACCGCCGACGCCGGCCCTGCTGTGACGGCTGCTTCCTTAGGCAGCCACCAGCCCAGCTCCATCGAAGGGATCGATACGAAGCCCTATCTCTGGGCCAGATACCACGAGATGAAAAAGCTGGTTTACGGTAAGGAGGGAGGAGAGTGGGAAGTGGGGAGCTTGGCTGTGCGAGTCTGATGCATTTCGTTGAAGGCAGCGAAACGCTGATGAATTAAAATGCCTCGGTGTACCTCTGGGAGTTATTCAAACTCTTGTCCCTTTGATCCCCAAAAGAAAGGTGAATGTACATCAAGCTGCATTATTTGCACAGCTTCAATTGTATAACTGTGGTGGACCTAAAGTGAAATGTTCAGTGTTATATATAAGGCTAGTACAACTACTGAGTAACCCACGTTACAAACCCGTTACCTGTGCATTGCAATGTGCATTATTAATAGCATCTGCTGCTGCCAAACTAACCTATGCTTACTTATTCTGTTCTATTGATAACATATGCGAATTGTTAAGAGTAACATATGCTAACTGATTCTCTTCTGTTGGTAACTTATGCTTAGTTAAGAGTAACTAAGAATGCCAAGTTATAAAAGATACTACAAATTGGATTCTTCATATTTTCTCCAAAGACATGCTTGTGTTTGCTAATAACATACGTGGGTACAATGATGATCAAGTTAAATGACTTTGAAATGGGAAACATTTTTAATCAACTCTTCCAATGTAATTGCTTATCAGCTTATCAGCTTACTAAAATTAGTAAGGTTGCGATCCCTTGCATGTTTTGCTTCTGTTTTTTGTTAAAATTTAACTTTCTAAACTCCATGGACTTGTGTGTGTGTTCTCTGTGTGTATCTGTTTTAAAATCTCTGTTGTGCATATTTTGTGAATTCTAGGTTGAGGGTTTGAACTTGGCTATTCAGTTGCTTCCACATTTCAGTTAAGCTGAGTAATGAATATGCCAACATCACTTGTTGGAAGCATTTAACACACATTTTCAACCATCTTAATTGGTTCCACAATTAGTTTCTGCATGTAGTTCAAGCTAATGTACTGGCATTGGACTTTCAAGGTTGAAAGTGGTTTGAACTTGCTAACTTATAAGGCTTTTTCTCAGAACTACTTGTGTGTTCATATCTCTTAAAAAGGCTACGTTTCAAACTGCCTTTCAAACTAAAGCAGATCATCGTAAGTTGTTGATTGCAGCGTTATCCTTGTGGAAACGCTTTCATTCCTCTATGGGCTGACTAGCATCTTTACAAGTCTGAACAAGAGAAATGTTGCTGCTGTATCAAAGGATCACTATCTCAACTATCTCAAAGGCTCCTTAGTTTTAATAAAAATGGTCAAGAATTGTTTAAAAACTATAACAGATGTTGGATGAATGCTACTATTTTTCTCTCTAATCATACTTGCTCATTTTTATAATAAAATATAAATTGCAATTCTAATATTTTTCAAATGTTTGCCAGAATTCACTTGAAGGATTCCACTATGAAGCCATAATGTGAAATGGAATTTAGTAGGTGACTTGAATATCTTTTTATGTTTGTTCCTGAAATGTAAACAAGATAACTTATTGGCAAGATTTTAATTGGACAGTAGAACCAAATCTTGGCAAGATTTCAACATAAAGGAAAATATTTCCAATAAAAGACATGTGATTATATGTATTTGTTACATAATTTGATGGAATAATAGAATAGAATACTAGAATACTAAAACAATTCATGTTTGATATTTTAATGAAGCATCTATACCAATACTAGGATAGATAACCAAGGGCAAAGAAATTACTTAATTGATACCTTTGCTAGTTGGATGCAAGGAGGAAGGGAGAAAATGATTTTATTCTGTTTGTTCTTCTCCTACTCCCCCCCCCCCCCCAATAGTAACAGTAGGAAGTAATTGTGCAGTGTCTATTCCAGATCTGCTATGTCCTTCCTCTCCTGATACATATTTGCTATAAGATACTTGTAATTTAACTGTAATATAATATGTAGCAATAGGCTGGGAGATTTCATTACCTACTACAGTTTTCCATTTGTGCTCTATTGATAGAAATGTTTTCTGAAGATGAGTAATTCTACTTCGTGGAATTTGTTTTTCATGAAACCACTTTATTGGACTCCTTCAACTCTGAAACAGAGTTACTTTTTAAAAAATATATCTTCCTAGTAAAGCCTTTTGGAATATTCTGGGAAGCATTGTTATTAACTGAACAATTTGTCATGCCATGAAGCATATTTTTTTCACTCATCAATGTAGCTTGAAGCTAATTGCATTCACAGTATTTTTCTTTCTGCCATTGAAAAATCAAGTTGTTCAATAATAATGGGCTTTTGAGGTTATATAATAATGGTAGAAACAAATAGCGTTCTTTGGTGCAATGAAATTTGCAAAATAAATGCCATCTTCACAATTCTGACCTCTTAGTTAACAAATGCAATATTCTCATCCTCCCATTAGATATGTACTTGTAATAGAAAATGGATGACTGTATAAAGCTTGTAGAAAGCATTTACAAAGCAAGAATGGATGGGGAAAATATTTTACTGTACAGTAAACAACTATTACTAACATTTGTTTCTTGAATAGTGAATATAACACTAGTCATATATATGGGTGACCTTGGGCTAGTCTCCTCCCAGCCCTAGGACGGAGTCAATGGAAAACCACTTCTAAAAAGTCATGCCAACAAAACTGCAGGGATTAGTACAAGCAGTCACCAGGAATCAACACAGGAGATGGAGGGAGGGAGAGATTTTTTTTCCTTTCATAATGAACTAATAACCAGTTGCAAAACTCTTGATCTTCACAGTGCAGAAGTGCAAATATAACTGTTACACAATTCCAGAGAAACCCTGTAACAAGGAAAATACTGTCCATTTATGATAAAGCAATTCTAGAATCCTATATAACAGTATTCAAGCGGCAGCAGTGAAGAATTCAGTTTACCTGATATTTCTATTCTCTCAAGGTAAACATCATAACACACCTACCCTTCATTTAGCTTTACAGGGTTAATCCCTTATATGTGTGAAAACCTGCAATAAACCATTTATATGGCTGTCCATCTCAAAAACAGAGACTGGTAATTAGAATCTATATATAGCTACAGGGGCACAAATACAGTTCACTCACTGAACATGCAGTTAGTGATCGTAAATCGTAAGGCTGGAAGGAACATCAGCAGTCTTCTAATCCAAACCCCTGTTCAAGGCAGGAGTTTATATTTATTTTTATTTATTTATTTTGTCAAAGATGTATTAGATAACAGATATAAGAATAAACATGATTATTAATACAAGATATGGATCATCCCAGGCAAGTGATTGTCCAGTCTATTTTTGAAAATTGCCAGTGATGCTGCACCCACACCCCAGGAGGCAAGCTATTGATTAATTGCTTTTGCTGTCAGAAAAAAAATGCTCCTTACTTCTAGGTTGCATCTCTCTTTGACAAGCTTCTAACCATTCCTTCTTATTTTGCCCTCTGGTGCCTGAGAGAATAAGGATTGGATTAACTGGGAATCAGAATGTTTAATGTTCAGTGATGTATAAAACAGGGAATACTTTTCAATGATGACTGTCTATAAAGACTGTTTAAAGCAACAAAGGTACCTGGACATGATTTTTCTCCCCATGCTGAATCTGCTTTATAATTTTGGAACAAACAAACATTGTGAAAGAACAGATACAGTTGGCTGAACCAGACAGATTGAGGCATTTAGGCAAATCTTTAGTGAGATTTGGTTTCCTATTGGACAACTAATCCCTATATAGTTATAAAGAGTTGTCAAGTGCCGGTATAACTCTAACTCAATTTCAGATGCAAAAATGTTGTTATTCTTTGTTACTTATATCTCCAATCTATGAGGCCTGACTAGAATAGAAAAACTTAAGTAAATAGAATAGAAGGCAATGCAATTATTCTTCCCCCACCCCCTATGTAATAATGATAACTAAATCTTGTTCCATTCCCAGGTGAAATTAAGTACAATGCCTAGATGGTGATTCTGTTCCTCCCCCCAAAATTTCCCTGAAATGCTCTGCCCTCCCCCCCAAATGTTTCTTCAAATGAAGGGTGCTAGTTCCTCTGAAATACTTCTGAGGAGGCACAGAAGGAAGGGAGAAAGCCTTGTGACAGCAGCAGCAGCCTCTGCCTCTGAGTAAATTCTGCTCCTGCCAGGGGAAAAACAGAATTTGAGCGGATCCTTTTCGGTTTACAGCAATAGCATTTTGTTTTAGTCATTCTTTTTGATAATGAAATGTTTGAATTAGTTGGAATATTTATTTTTGGGCCATCTATTTTGAAAGAAAATGTCAATAGTCTTGAATACCCAGTTATAATGGGGGTGGGGGGAGGAATATTTCACTCCACCCCACCCCATCCCCCCCACCCCTTTTAACACATGAACAGTATTTCTGTTCTGCACAATCTTGGATCAAAGAAGTGCTTGTATTTTTATTGTTTCAGATCTGCTTCCACCAGGAGTTTGCAATCTTCTTAACCCCGCAGCTATCTATGCAAATAATGAGATTAGCTTGGGAGATGTTGAGATCTATGGCTTTGATTATGATTATACATTGGCACAATATTCCAATTTACTACATTCAATGATATTCAACGCTGCCAGAGATATTCTAATTGAACAATGTAAGGTAAGTTGCAAATTTCATCATCTCTTCTTGTGTAAGGCTTGATCTGTAATAGATTGGGGGCAGTATGGTGTGGAAGTGATTTTAAGATAAGTACTTTTTCTTCCTCTACATTTCATCACTTGTTTGTGTTTCTAGATTCTGACTTTATTTTTCATTAGCTTCCTGAGATGGCATTATCATTTATATTGGTGAGAAAGGCTTAAAGCAATTAACTTTTCCCTAATTCTTTTTTCACTTGTTAATAGAACTACCCACTTTTCTCTACGCCTTGCTCAGCCTCTACATGATTTTTAAAAATTATTTTATTTATCTATTTACAGAGTTTATGTACCTTTCCTTTCTTATTATAATCATTTTATTCAAATTACAAAGATAAAAAATAATACAAACTAAGGAAAATATAAACAAAAAAGTAAACAAAGGGGAAAAGAGGGGATGGGAAAAGGGGAAAATATATAAAAAAGAAAAGAAAAAATATGGAAAGAAATAACTTTCCCTTTCATCAATCATAAACATTTTCTGTAGCTTGACATCTTCTCTAATTTTTAACCAAAACTATCTTCGTTCCATATCACATCTTTTACCTATTGGCAAATAATAAGATCTCATCTTTCAGTTTTAATCAGCAAAAGTCCCTTAGGTGATACCAGAAATAAACACACACACACACACTGTGTATGTATGTGTGCGTAGGTGCGTGGGTGTACATATACACACTTTAAACAAATAAATCATAATCCTTTCCTTTCCACAATACCTTGTCAGTTTCTCCAAAATTCTTCTTCCCATGGTTTTATATCTATAAACTGATGTATAAAAACTCATCATTCAAACTTAATCAAGAAAAATTCTATTAAGTGCTACTAGAAATTTGAAAATATTAATATTTAATCCCTTCAAACAATATCTCACAATTAATTTGTTATTTACTCTTCATTTCTTCTTGGGTAAATCCTTTATGAAAGGCTCTGGTTGTGGCTTGAGGAAAGTGGCCTCTCCCAATACCCAGAGTTGTAAAACCTGCCAGAAACTGCTATTTTATGGCCCAATCATGGGAAAGGTCTGTAAGGAGCACTCTGGGCAATCCCTATTTCTCTGGAAAGGAATGCAAGGAGCTGGTTCCTTCACCAGCTCCACTTTCCATCACGAAGCAAAGCTAAAAGTAGTCTGCCATTACTCCCTGGAAATAAAAGTTTATATGTCATTTCAATCAGCTCCAATTATGAATGGCTTAAATACCCTATTTTCATAAATAAGATCATGATGTGCAATATGTCTGACAAAGAATATAACATATACGGTACATGCTTATGTCAAAGATAAATAAAATCACCCTTCAGAAGAAAGCTCACATTTCTACTCTTAAGGCATGTTTAAAAAAAGACCAGGTTTCTCCATCTCCTCTATACTTTTCCTCACTTATCTTTCGGCAGTTGTCCAAGGAGTTTTTTGGCTGATTATAATTCTGTTCTAAAACTATATACTTTGTATCCGCTGTCATACAGTTTGCTTGTTGTCTGGATTTCTACCAGTTTTTAAATAAGCAAAATATAGCATGTATCCTGGTTTGGAAGAATATACTCATTCTTTTTAATGAAATGTTTCGTAGTACCCAGAGGGACTCAGGAAATTTGAATACATTCCTGGTTTTGCCATAAGAGGGCTTCATTATGATGTGCACAAGGTGAGTTATAAAGTGAATTTGTTTTCTGCTGGTCTTTCACAGTATTTAGTAACATCATTTGGGTCAGTGTAGAAACTGGAAACATTGAAGTATCTGGTTAGCTTGTTAAGTTACAGCTATTCTTGGAGAAATGAATTAATAATGGTGTATGTATGTATGTGGCTTTACTTATTACACATATACACAGGGAAACAGTCATAGTTGAATTACAATGATAATTTAGGACCAGAATTTCAATCACAATCATGTGACCAGAGGTCACTGCAATGTTATAATTGTGAGTCAGTTACCAAGAACCCAAAGCCTAATTATGTGACTACAGAGTCATTGCAATGGCCACAACTTTGCAGATCAGTCATATGTTTACTTTGTTCAGTGCCAGTACATAATTGTACAAGTGATCGTAATCCTTGGGCAACCTATAAAGGACGTCTTTCTTCATAGTTACATAGTATGACAATCTAAAAATCAGTTAATACAGTCTGCAGTGGAATATTCTTGCTTATGGCTTAAGATTTTCTAAATTTCATAGCTACATTTAGTATGTATGGGTTTTTTTTTCCAAAAAGAAAGAGGAACTTAATGCTAATAAGGCCCAAAGTGGATTGAAGAATGTGGGAAGGATGTTAGGAAAGCCTTTTTTCAGCATTTTGCAGGCACAATTGCAGTGATCTTTGTAAACAATATTAGGATATTTTATCATCTTATTTTGTCCTTCTGCTAGCGTTATTTCTGTCTCCAGTAGGGAATAATTACAGCACTAACAAATCTTTGCTGACTGTACAGCATTAAAAAAAAACACATTTTCCTGAAAGTTAGAAGCAGGGTAGGATGTGGTGAGCTAAAAATGTAAGCACTGCAACTGATCTGAGAAGAAGACATGGTCACCACAGTTGATGGTAAGTGAATAAAATAGTCTCATCTGGCAACTCTTCAGATGATGTTGTGGAGATCAGATAAGATAGTAGGAGTTACAAAGTGTAACATCAGAGCATTTCCATGAAAAAAAATGAATCTTTCCCTCTTCGATAATTTAAAGTAGAAGATGTCAGTATAACAGCTGCGAGAATCCCAATTTGTCTTACTGAAGAAATAAAACTGATCCCTGAAATTATGCAAGGTTGCATATTGATGGGCTAGAAAGGTGCCTCTCTGCAAAACTAGTAAGAGTGGTGCTTCTGTCTGAACAAAATTTCTTCTGTCCCTTTCTTTCTTCCGTGGAAGTAGAAGCAGTGTATGACTCTCTGTGCAGACATCAACAGGCAAGCAAGCAAACAAAAAACCAAGGGGTTCCAACATCATATGCATCATATTTGTATCTGCCAATTTAGCTTTAAATGCATTGCCTTGTGAAGAATCGTTTTGTTTGTTCTTCTTATAAGATTAAATTCTTCCAGGTAAAAGTATGAAATATTGACCCAATAAATGTCTACCTTTCTGTTTAGAGTCTTCTGATGAAGATTGATGCTTTCCACTACGTTCAGTTGGGCACTGCCTATCAGTGAGTTTAGCAAAATTATATGCACTTTCTGGAGCTGTTGACCTTCATAGAAGCAGCTGTTCTTTATGCAACATTTAACATAGAAATCAGAAGCAAATATGGGTCACGGGTGATGACACAGGACTGTTTACTTGCTCCAGAGAAATGTTTTGAGTTGCTGAAGTCTGAGTGTCCTGGCAAATCTTTTTGAAATCAGAGGAAACTGTACTGTGCTAAATTAAAGGATCAATGATTACAATGTTGGGCATATCGGAACAAATTTAGCTACAAATATTAGGAGATCAATTGCTATCATATTACAACGGTTTGCATATTACAACTTGTTTTTGTTATGATTCCTTGAGTCAAACATGACTCCCAGCGATGACACATATAAGCTGGGGAGTTTTCTTGGCAATCTTTTTTCGGAAGTAATTTGCCAGTATCTTCTTTAAGATTCAATTTGATTTGCTAATCTATGGCTGAAACTGGCCTGGGGTTATTATCTAAGCAATTTCCATGCTTAAAGAAGGGCTAAAACCTGGGTCTCCCTGCTCTTATTCAGGTGTCTTTACTTAAACCGACAAGTCTTAAAAAATCAAGAATTCTGTCAAAAGGATAGACCATTGAGCTTCAAAGTGAATGTTGCTTTGTTTTTAAAATGTGACTGTGGGATGTGGAAGAATTTGAAAAACTAAATCTGCTTACAGCATTGCAATCCATGTTAGCTTTGACTTTGGAAATGCTATAAATAGCAGAAGATTGATCAGTATTTCTTAAAATGTGGTCCTAGGACTCCTGGGGCTGGGCCAACTCTCTCCAAGAGGTCTGCAAAATCAAAATTATTTTCCAGCCTATATTAAAAAGTAATAACAATATTGAAATCCCTTCAAACAATAATGAGAAGCGGTATGGCAGCAAATGAGTCCATCTTAATTTTTAATACTTTAAATACTGATTATATAAATTAAAACTCCTTTGGGATCCACCATGATTTTTAAAAATGGGAAGAGAAAAATGTTTAAGAAACACTGATCTAGAGACTTTGAACAAAGGAGAAACGAAGGTTTATGATTTAAGGAAGAAGTATTTGCTAATGCAGCTGCATCTTCTACTTCCCTATTAATCTGCTTTTCTGCTTTGGTTAAAAATTAAACCCACTTTTCTGTTACAACATTATGCAGTTTTGTATATTTTGGAAACATTTTCTCTATAGGCAACTTTTCTTATAATCATGGAATATTTAAAGTTCTGGCTCTTTATATTGGCTGTTTCCTTTTCTTCATAAACTTAATTTCAATTAATAATGATATTAGAAAGTCACTTAGGTCAATGGAACAGTAATGAATTTTCAACAAAAAGTTTGCCACTAGTCTTCATTAATATCTTGATAAGAGTCAAATTATGTCAATTGATAAGAGTCAAATTATGTCAATTCACTTGCACAACTTCTCTTCAGAATCAGTGCCCGTACAGATCTGTAATTTCTTCTCTTAGCCAAACTCAGCATCTTGGGATTTCATGAGCATGCATGTTTTCTTGGGCAATGACTTCTTTTGAGATGCTTTCCAGTAGAATAATATAAAAAGCAACCCCCCTAAGGATTTTAGGATAATATGAGCTTAGGTGTCTACTAAGTTTTAATATCTTCTTGATTGAATTATTGTAATTTGTTTTTAGGGGACTAAACCCAGTGCCTGATGAAGAAGTTATTGAAATGTATGGTGGAACCCAGCATATCCCATTATACCAGATGAGTGATTTTTATGGCAAGGTAAAGTAAATCCACTTTACTGAGAATTTATTAGATTTATATGAATTAAGTGCTGAAAATTTAATCAGATCATCTTACCAGACCATAAATTAAATAAGAAAAAATATATGATATCTTCCTAGTATGGAGAAAAGCAGTACCAACAGTAGTAGTTACAAACATATTTAAGTAAAAAAAAAAAATTAAATCCACCAAGTCAATGTATCTGTTGAATTCTTTCTAGAGTAAACAATGGTTATTAGTTCCCCACACTTTGTACAAAGGTACATCAATAACTAGGTATTGTTTACAGTGAGTATTTTCTATTTTGTAACAAACCTCAGTGAAGTGGTTTTTTTTCCTTTAAATAATCCAGGCTCACCAAAAATAATTGTTGCTTCCCTGTAAATATGAAAAATCTGACCTAAAGGTCATGTTTTTGTGTTTTGTTTATTCCTTTTGAAAATGATTGTGACCATACAATACCCACATAAATGTTCTGCTACCATTGTGGCTTTCAAAGTCTTTGTATTATTTCTTCCATTGTAGATTTATAAATACAGAGAAGCCAGGTTTATATAGTATGCACAGCTTCACTGACATCATTTTTCTTCAGTTTCATTGTTTAGGTTCATTAGTATTATAATGAACTACTCAATAATGAGAATAAAGTAATAGTAACAGTTTTATTTATCTGCCTCATTCTATTGTGAGTTGAAAAAGTAGTTGGAAGACAACAAACTATGTAGAATTTATTGTCAATGGCAAAGTAACAAGATTATCTCCTCTATATGGAATATGATGTTTTTTTTCCTTTTCACATAATAATCAGTTTTAATTTAATGTAATATAGGAAGTTTTTATTTTTACAACAAATACATCCAAAATAATTCAGTTAACTCTTTCACTGGCTCATTGTTTTCTGTTTTTCGTTCAGATGTGAAAAGTTCGACTAATGAGTTACTTTTTAATTTCTCGCTGTTTAATAAAATAACACATACTCCTGTTGTCCTTGGACTATCTTTAGGCATATGTGATCATTTGGTCTATGAACCTGAACTTGGAAATCAGCCAGTATCATCAGAATTTCTCCGTATTTTTACTGGATCCACCCTTTATAAATAGCATTCTGATTTGCCAAGTTTTGGGTTGCATTGTGTATGTGATATTCTGCATACACAAAGAGATGCCCATAGTTTAAAGAGCCACAACTTTTATTGTTTAATTCAAGATAAGTGCTTCTGAACAGAGAGTTTATGATGTTATTAAATGTATTGTACAACCTTCCTTCTTTCCCTCCCTCCCTCCTTCCTGGAAAGAAAAGAAGGCTAGTTAAAATACAGGTAATCCTCAACCTATAGCCACAATTGAGCCAAAATTTCTGTTGCTAAGCAAGACAATTGTTAAGTGAATTTTACTCCATTTTCAATCAATCAATCAATCAGTCAATCAGAACAGAGCTGGAAAGGTTCTTGGAGGTCTTCTAGTCCAACCCTCTGCTCAAGCAGGAGACCCTATATCATTTCAGATAGGTGTCTGTCCATTCTTTTCTTTAAAACCTCCAGTGATGAAGCATCTACAACTTCTGAAGGCAACTTAATTGGTTAATTGTCCTCACTATTAGGAAGTTTCTCCTTAATTCCAAGTTGCTTCTCTCCTTGATTAGTTTCCATCCATTGTTTCTTGTCCTGCCCTCTGGTGCTTTGGAAAATAATTTGACCCCCTCTTCTCTGCGGCAGCCCCTCAAATACTGGAATACTGCTATCATGTCCCCCCTAGTCCTTCTTTTCTCTATACTGCCCATACCCAATTCTTGCAACCGTGCTTCATATGTTTTTGCCTCTAGGTCTTCATCATTTCAATTGCTCTTCTTTGCATTTTTTTTCCAAAATTTCAGCATCTCTTTTTTTAATGTGACTAAAACTGGATGCAGTATTCCACATGTGGTCTTGCTAAAGACTTATAAAGCAATACTAATACTTCACGAGATTTTGATGCCTCTGTTTATACAACCAAGGATTGTATTAGCTTTTTCAGCTGCTGCTGCACACTGCTCACTCATGTTTAAGTGACTGACCACTAGAACTCCAAGGTCCCTCACAATTACTGTTTTTGAGCCAGGTTACACCTAATCTGTACTTGTGCCTTTGGTTTTTCCTGCATAGGTATACAATCTTGCTTTTCTCCACATTAAATTTCATGTTGTTGGATAGGGCCCATTGTTCAAGTCTGTCAAGATCTGTTTGGATACTGAGCTTATCTTCTGGGGTGTTGGCTATTATGGTCCTCTTAGTGTCATCTGCCAATTTGATGAGTCCCTGTTCTACTCCCCCATCTAAGTCATTTATTGACGAATACTGGGCCAAAGACAGAACCTTGTGGTACTCCACTGTTTACTTCCATCCATGTAGATGTAGTACCATTAAGGACTACTTGTTGTGTTCAGTTTGTCAGCCAGTTAGAAATCCATCTGGTGGTGATGCTGTCTATCCCACATTTTTCTAGTTTACCAAGTATTGCAGAACCATTTTAGCCATAGTTGTTAAATGAATCATTGCAGTTAAGTTAGTAACACAGTCCTTAAATGAATATCATTTCTCCATTGGACTTTGTTTATGAGAAGGTTGCAAAAGTGATCACGTAATCCCAAGACACCATCATAAATACATGCCAGTTGCCAAACGTCCACATTTTGATCACATCACCATAGGATGCTGCAACGGTCATAAGTGTGGAAAAAAGGCCATAAGTCACTTTTTCAGTGGTGTTGTAACTTCAGTCATTAAATGAATGGTTGCATGTTGAGGACTATGTGTAATAGAAACAATATGGAAATGTCCAAATGCAAGACAATAATCTGAAGTGCTCTTGTAAAACCCCATGAAAAAGGCAAAGTGATTATATGACAAACGCTTTGTCAAAAAGTATTTTTAATATTTGCTTGCTCAAATATTTTATTATTACAGAATGTTAAATTGTGTGTTATAAAAGTATATATATCGTAGGATGGTATGGTATTTTGTATGGATATGCTTTGTGGAAAAAATAATGGCTGGGATGTAACGTTTTGTTGGTTAATTTATTTAATTAAGCTGCATGAAGCACACAGATTTCTTATCTCCCTGTTTTCCTTTGACCAGCCCCTTTGATAAGTTCAGGGATTTGCATACAATCATAATATTTGAAAAGAAAAAGCCAAGCCAGGCTTTGATAGCTATCAGCAAAATGGATATAATGGCTGCCAATGTAACTAACATTTGGCTTTCATTACAAGTGGGAAACATGCATTTTACTTATTTATTAAATGTATATGCTGCCATTTATTTATATTTATTCAATTATTAAATGAATCAGACATCGGCCACCTACATGAAAGGCAAAAAGCAGTCATTGCACAAAGATCAGGAACAAAGTCACAGACATTTCAAAATCCATGGTTTTGAAATTTGAAGTTTTACAATGGTTGTAAAAGTGTGCATATATCCCCTTACCTCCAGAATTCAACTAACTAAGCAAATTACTGTACTAGTAACTTGCACATTTATGAACTTTCAATATGAGTGATCCTACAGCTGGATTGGTGAGGCTAGAAAAGGTTGGGGGCAGGAGGGAAGCAACCCAGTAAAAAGTCATAAAACAAGACACTGACATTTTTGAAAATGCCAAGTTTCTTCTGAGTTCAGAACCTTGCAATTATTGATTAAAACGATAGGAATGTGGCTGGCTGACTGGTATGTTTATTTTCTCAATTAGCAGCGCCTTTTGGCTTGGGAAAAAAAATATAACAGTGATGGCATTAGTTCTTTTGTCTTGTTAATGTGCTGACTGAATGTGGGAATGAAGTAGAGAGCTAGAGTTTCCCAAAGCAAGCATGTCTATTATATCAGCAGCTCAGCCTGAGAAACATAAAGCAGGATAGCTGTTAAGCATGAGAAAAGGCAGGAAAAGGAAGCCTGGGATTTAAATCACAGAGGACATAAGAAGGAGTTTGCTTTCAGTTGACAGAACAATCATCTAGTAATTTCATCCTAGTATGTACCATAAATTCTTACCTAGTTGCTTTGTGGCATTTGTCTGGTAGCTTCTCTCTCCCAACTCAGGGTTTATTTAAACAATTGAACAGACTCTCTTGAAAATCCAGATAATTCTGGATTCTTATATCATTTCTAACAATTAGTTGCTGTTTCAAATGCTTTACATTCTAACTTAGATTTTACCATTTAGATTTTAAAATACTTTATATTTTAAAGTTTTACATTTTTTAAAAATCCATTGGTCAATTTTTCTGTTAGTTGAATAACCGATAGGAGTGAGAAGGAACTAATTACCTCACCTGTTCTTGTCCTTGGAAGGTGAAAATGCATGGTGTTTTTTTTTTTTTTTTTTTTACAAATTCTCACTGTGTTCTCTGGCCAGAGCTTTAAGTTTTAAGTTTTGTTTCACTGAAACATTGAGAAGTTGAACTATTTTTTGCTCCCTATTGGAAAATAGCCAGCAGGAAAGGTTGGTGGAATATTTTGAAGGAGCTGATTTTTTTGGCATTCCAATCCAAATGTCTTTTTCACTTCTTGCACAATGCTAGTTCTAATATCATTTACCATTATTTTCAATAGCAAAAGGAAAAAAATCCTGGGAAGATGCTTTTTTGTACTGTAATTATTTTAAGCTTTCAACTCTGAATAAGGAGGCTGGGAACTAACGTTATAGGCATTTAAATGTTTTCTACAATTTAGTAAAGAGTTTTCTGGATATGTATAATATTATACTGTTTCATACTAACTAGTTAATTTACTTCAGAAAGGGCCATAATACATGCATACTATGGCATTAAAATTATTTATTGCTGGAAGAGATGCAAAAAACAGTGCAAATAACCCTAATAACCAAAATTTGCTGGATACAAAATTAGCTTTGGAGTTTGGAATTTAATGACAGGGAACATAGTTTAATCTTCTAAGCCTTTAATGAATGAACTTTCTGGGCAATTAATTGATGGAACTGGATATAGTTTCTTCTTTATGCTATTCATGCATGCAGTCGGCTATTTCTAATTATTCCTAAATATAAAAAGATGAACTAACAGTTTAAAGCAAGCAGAAATCACATATTCTTTAGATCAGCTCTTAGTTTTGCTGGAAGAAAAAGTACTTTTGAAAGTATTTCATATTTCTAAGAGAAAAATATGTGTCAAGTTTCCAGTATTGTATAATCAAAAACATCTCATTCTTGAGTTATCTAACTTTATGAGTCTTACATAAGCATGGCTTATTTAAATTTTTATTTATGAATGGAATGCTGCAGGGGCTGATTCTAAATGAACAACAAAGCCAAGAATATATTTAAGCCAAGAATATATTTTCCTTTGCTGTAAAAAAAATCAATGTGATATTTATATATTAATTTTACAAGGGAGAACATTTATCTTTAATAATGTCACGTTTTGTTGTCTACCCCACAATTCAACATCTGGGTTTTTTAAAATAATAATAATATTTTGTTTTTCTGAGTAGGGTCCATCAATTAAACAATTTATGGACATTTTCTCTCTTCCTGAAATGACCCTACTTTCATCAGTGACTGACTATTTCATGACTCATAATATTGAGTATGACCAAGTTCATCTTTTCAAGGACGTTAGTGTAAGTATAATTCTTCTAGAACATAAAAGATGAAAATATAATAATGAATTAATATTGTTTGCTCTAATTCATGTCAGAAGCATCAAGGTGCTTCTGTGTTGAAAGCATTAGCTGGTAACCTCACCGTTGCCTGGAGGATGCCTGATTGGGGACCCTATTAATGTGCCCACTTACGTGGTACCTACCTTTGTGGTTGCATGTTTTCAAACTGCTAGGACAACAGGAGCTAGAGCAAATGACAGGAACTAACTCCGTCACATAGTAGCATTTGGCTCTCAAACAGAAACCCAGCATGCTTATCACATGAGACACTGAGGTCCCTAATAAATATTGTTTGGACTGGTCTTTTTGGTAGCTTTGTAACAACGCATAACACCAGGTTTTAAAACTAAGACCTAATTTCTTTTTCCAATTTTAGGATGCCATTAAAGATGTCCATGTGAAAGGAATGATGTACAAATGGATTGAAAAGGACATGGGTCAGTGAAAGCCAATCTTTTAATTGTGAATTATAATGAGCACCACGTGTAATGGTTTTAGATCAGGGTAGTGATACTTTATGTATATTATCTTGTGGGTAATCAACCAGATCTGTATTCCACCAAGAGGTAGAACCAAAACAATAAAGTCCTTCTTTTCTTCACCTTGTATATACTTATTAGCATTCGTATCTATGATTACAAAGATGTTTCTACGTAACTGTTTGATTTGTTAATGTCTTTACAGAAAGAGTTAGGTAAATGAGAGAAAGAAGGGGTTTCTTTTTTCCCTAACAGAAATGCTGTACACTGCAATCCATGTATAAAAAAAACTTCATCCAATAACTACTTGGGTAATATTTTTAACCATAATTGATCAAGACATTGAAGAATAGAAAGGATCCCCTTCCTGTGTTTCAGAACAGATGTGAGCAATCAAATCTAGGTCAAGAGATGGATTGCCTCATCCCACATGCAATAATTTAGCATCTGAGTTATGTCAGTTACTGAAATTTCCTTCTTATGCTGTCCACAAGGATTTTACATCACTGAATTGTCACTTTCTTTTTTTAAACAACTTGTATTAGTTTTTAAAGACAAACAAAACATAAAACATAAGAACATAAAACCTCTTTTCTAAAAGCTACTTATAAGTTTTAACAAGGCAAATAAAACATTGTTTTATGCAGCATTATCACATTTCCATATAAACACATACATATCTTTTTCAAATTTCTCGTTATTTCTCCCTTTACTTTTATTCAATTATATTTCTTTTCTATATTTGTCTATTTTATGTTTTTATTCATTATACTTATATTTTCATCTGACTTGTTTACAATTATTCTCTTCTAACATTCCTCCAAGTTTTTATTAATTCTCAATCAAACATAAATACACAAAACACAAAACATAGAAACATAAAACTTCTTTTTGGAAAGTGGCTTAACCCCGGGTTACATCTTTTTGTACAGACCTAAATCAAATTCATGCTCATCTTGTATACCATTACTTATCTTATTTACCATTCTATATTTTCTATATAACTTCTCCCCTCTTTTCACTCTCTTAATTCTATTTTATTTATTTCATCTTAATTTAAATCATTATTCTTGTATCTTTTGTCCGTTTTTTTCCAATTATCTATTTATCTCTTCTCTTTAACACAAAATTTCTCCTGTAATCACTAATTGAAGTATGACGCCTTTCTATCTTTCCCCAAAATTTAACACTTAAAATAATACATAATTTCCATTCTGATTCTGCTTAGTGCACTCTACATACTACATTTTAAAATAAGAAAACAACAAACCTATAATATAGTTAAATATATAATTTCCATTCTGATTCTGCTTAATACATTTTAGATACTACCTTTTAAAATAAGAAAATAAGAAAATGACAAGTTTATAATGACATTAAAACAATAGCAAATTAAACTCTATCATTAAATCTTAGACATTTTACACATTCCCTTTAATATTTTATTAAATATTAAAATCTATCATTAAATCTTAAGCATTTTGATATTTTAACATTTTATTAGATCTTATAATATTCCAATTTTCTATTTCAAATACAAATACTACAATACAATCTTGTGTACTTTTGCAGAATCCCTTTTTAATTGTACTTTACCCTTTGTCTCTAAAAAAAAATCTGCTTTTTCCCATCTTGTTTCAAGCCTTTATGACTTCTTTTCCCTTTTTCCCTTCCTTCCTTATCCAATCTGGCCTTTTTACCCCCCCCCCTCTCTTAACCTCCGCCTTTTTAACCTCCCCTCTCTGTTGTATTCCTTTTTTCTGTTGCTTTCTGACGTTGTATCGATTTTTCACCTTATTTTTCTCTTTCTTGGTTGTTGTTTTTTTGAGTCTTAAATTCTCCATTTTCCTTCCCCTCTTCCTCCCTTTTTTCTTGGCTAAAGTTATTTGTCTATTAAAGATGGCTTGTTGTTGTTGTTGTTGTTGTATTTGCCGGTAGGTAGAAATCGCCATTTCTAAGAAGTGAACAACAGATCCAAAAGAGCCCTTGCCTTCTTGTTCCTCTTCTTTTAATTTTTCAAATTCTATTTTTAATTCATCCACAGATAATGCCATTGTAAGGTTTTTTCTTCTTCTTTTTTTTAAACAACCCAAATGTTTTTAATCTTAGAGTAGTTTCCAAAAGTCCCAAAGTCATCAAGCAATCCAAACAAAGACAAAATGTTTCATTTAGCACCTTCTTCTCTTTACACTTTCTCCTCCTGGGGCAATATCAATTACAAAGTTCCAAAATATATTTTTGAAGTCTTATTGCAGTTAATTTCTAATCTTATAAATTCGAAGCCATCTCCTCCAGCAAGATCTTAATATAAGTTTTTTCTTTTTTACCTCTCCCTTCCCACTTATAGCAAAAAACTTTAGATTTTTACCTTCTGTGCCAAAGCAGGTTTTCCAATGTCCATTTGCTATCTCCGTAAGGAAGGAGAGTGAACTTTCCCTTTTCAGACTTTCATTCGCTGCTTTCACAGTCTCCTTTGGAAACAATATATCATTCAAAAAAGATTTTTAGTTCCAGGGTATTTAGATATATCTTAGAGTCCCGGTTCAGCCAAAGAACTTTCACTTTCTGACACTTCCTCCTTCACGATCTTGTCCGGCTGAAGGTTTCTTTGTGGCGGCCATTACTGACCGCCGCTCCACCGCCTTAGGAAAAAGGAGTCTAGCCGGCTGGGGAAAGGGGTTGCGATATCCCCAGACCCCTGCCCGGATCTCCTCTGTCTTCCGTTACCTCTACGGGGTAACGACAGCCTCCAAACCCGGCTGGATCGGAGGCACTTCAGCAGCGAGCGCAGCAGGAACCGCACACGATCACGGATTCCTGCCGCCGCCGAAGCCTGCAACCGGAAGTTCCTGAATTGTCACTTTCTGATTGGCAAAAGAAATGTGAGTTGAGAGCAGAGATTTAGGGAAAGGAAGAACTTTTAGGCCTGTTGTTCCTTCTTTGGAGAACTCCCATACTTTCTGTAGATTAATTATTTCATTATCACCAGGTGAAATGTAACTAAATTGTATCTTCTTACCATTGTATTATACAAATGTTTACAGTATGCTTAGCTTCACCTGTTTCTTGCAGAGAAATATATTCTTCATGGAGATGAAACATATGCTGTCTTAAATAGACTGGTTAACAACAATAAAAAGCTCTTTCTCATCACAAACAGTCCTTTCAGTTTTGTGTAAGTATGAACTTGCATGCATTCATCCTGATGAAATGATTAGTCATGTGCAGACCTAAAGAGAGAAATACGAGAACTGAAAATGTTCAGTAAAGATAGCTTATCTTAATAGCGTCATATGATTCAGTGACCTATTAATACTTTTACGCATGCTCATACAAGCCTGTCTTAAAATCTAATTCTCACAATTGTAAAGATCTACTTTTAAAAAAATGATAAAGTTGAATCCTTTGCTTCCCAAACATTCAACATTATAGCACACTAAGGCCATAGTTTGCTATAATGTTAGAAGGTCTCTATATGTTTTTCATATCTCAGTTAGCCTTCCTACTCTCTAATTAAAATTTCATATTTAAAAAAAATTGGAGAGAGCTATTAGTGCTCTAGGAAATTATTAGGTCTCTAATATTCTGGGATACCTAATATCCTACTTCTCATAAGATGATACAGTCTCACATTCTTAGAGGTTTTGGAACAATTGTAAAAAAAAAAAATGAGAAATATAAAACATTCATGTTGTTCTTAGTAAATGTTATGGGAGTGTTTAGAGACATAAAAAACATTCTTTATTTTATTTGATGGTAGGACAAACGTACCTCAAATTAAAGGCTATATTTGTTCAGTGCCTGCATTCCTTAGTTGTCTATAATCCTACCCATTGGTTCCTTAAGTAATCACTTTAAGAGTCTCAGTGTTGTTGATGGCCATTATATACACAATGTTTCTAATGGTGGGATTGATAGCAAATCCTGGCTGCACAGGCAAAATCCACTAGTGGTAACTCATTTTCTAATCCTAGAAAAAGAAGGAGGCTTTTCATTGAACTTCTGAGAACAAGTCTTGCTCTTGCCAAATGCTTATAAAGTTGAGCATTATACGGGGGCAAGATGCCATTCTCCACTAATCCCCAAATTGATGAAAAGCCACATATTCTTACCAGCTAACAAAGCTAGTTAGGAACTGGGCTCCTTGCTTTGTGTACTAAATGACTTAATAATCAGAAATACTATATGAAGGAACTCTGAGAATAGCTACTGTTTTGCTTAAGAAAGTGAATACTGAAGTTACTTACATTTTCTCCCTGTTTTGCCTATAGCGATAAAGGGATGAAATACATGGTTGGCAAAAACTGGCAGGATCTTTTTGACGTGGTCATTGTGCAAGCAGATAAACCCAGTTTCTTTACAGATAAGCGAAAGTAAGTATATTGGTTGTATTACGTTTTCTGCCATGAATAAATTAGCTGCCTCTAAAACAGAACAGGTCCCAAAATGTACCATATCATGATGCCATGCCATGGATATTATCCTAACACCATCTTATGGGAGGGAGGAATTAATTAATTTTGCAAGTGATACGATTTTAAGGAGTAGCTTCCAAGTTATTCTGTACAATTAAAGTTTTGCCGGGTTAGCTCACACGTCTAAAACTGCCTTCCAGATTGTATGTAAGCATATGAAATTGTTTCCAAGCCTCATGAAAAGAGTGTTGGGGCCTTTTTTTTTCTTTTTATGACCCTTTAATCAGTGGTGGGATTCAATTTTTTTTACTACCGGTTCTGTAGGCATGGCTTGGTGGGCGTGGCAGGGGAAGGATACTGTAAAATCTCCAGTCAGAGGTGGTATTTGCCGGTTCTCCGAACTACTCAAAATTTCTCCTACCGGTTCTCCAGAACTGGTCAGAACCTGCTGAATACCACCTCTGCCTTTAATCCTTTGTTTTGGGGTGAAGTCAGGGTGACTGAGTGGAGCTGAGCATTTACTGGCCTTTCCTGATGCCTACACATAGCAGATTTTTGCTCTTTGCACCCTGATACATCTGCTGCTTCCTAGGATTGAACTCTTATCCTCCTGAGTGGGAGGTAAGTGCCTTCACCTCTGGGCAACCACACAGCTGTTGTTGAGGCTTTATTACCCTGTATAATGATGCACATTGAACCCCAAATTTTATCTACAGAAAATTCGAGCTATTTTGTTTGTCATTCATTCATGTGTCTGCTTATTCATTCTTTTGAGATGGATGGATGTGTGTGCATGTGTGTGAGTGTGTAGTAACGTGGTGTCAAGTATGTAGTGTCTGAAGTGTGAAATTTCACAAAATATTGCTTTGAGTGTGGAACTGCTATTTTGAGCACAAGTAAGCCGTTTGCTGCAGGGGAAAAGTGTTTCAAGCCTCAAAGAAAACAGTTCTGAGTTCAAAGGATATATTGTTTTGAGCTTGATCTATTTCCAAAATGTTTAAAGCACCTTGATTTACACTTAGCTCTCAAAATTGGTTTTGTGAAATTTCATGTTTGAAACAAAATATTAGGACGTTAATTAAACTAGGAGTAGACTGTCTTCAGGTGTCCCAGGGCCATATTTAATCATTTGCAAAACGGGAAGGTTGCAGCAATGGGATGAAAACGTGCATTGGGTAAAACTCTTTGATTATATCATCAGAGCTGGTACCCTTAAGTTCCTTTGGGCTTTTTTGTTTGTTTGTTTTTCCTGAGTTCTGGATGGTAAAGTTGTTTCTTCTTCTTCTGGGTAACAATTTAGCTTTAGGATTACTCTGTTTGTGAGTTTCTTGTTTCAAAATAGCAGTAGTTGGAAATCAATGTTCACAGTATAAATTAGGGTAGTGCTTCTCAATCTCATCAGCTGTAAGATGAAATCTGGGAGTTGTTGCTAAGGCTGAGAAATATTGGTTTGGGATAAACTCCAGAAGTTAGAATATGGGGGGAAATAAGATAAGTATAACAATATATGCATGGGCCTCAGCTTTTCTAATATGCTTATATTAACACAATTTTCAGTTGGTTTACATGATAATAATCTCAGTGCAGGTAGTCCTCAAGTTACAACCACAGTTGAGCCCAATTTTTTTTTAAAAAAAAACAAGTTTTATTAAAAATTTCAACAACAAACAGATCATTACATATTTAAATCTTTTCCTGTCTTTCTACAGAAATTTCCCCAATATTCTCATAAAACACAAACAAACACAAACAAACATAAAAAATCTTTTAGTAAAGTACCTTGGCCCCAGTTACCTCTCTTTGCATGGGCAGCGCATATCACTCTTCACAATTCTATCTTATTTAATCCATCTTAATTAAATCATTATATTTATATCTTTTGCCCATTCATTATCCCTCTATCTCTTCTTATAATAAAAAAAAAATTTCTCCTGAAATCACTAATCAGAGTATGATGCCTTTCTATCCTCCCCCTAAGTTAGTAAAATTAACATTCAACATAACAAATACCCAATTCGGTTCTGCTTGGTACATTCTATCCACCAAAAATGTTTAAATACATTGTATCCTCCTTTCCTTCAATATTTTATTACATTTTAAAAATCAATCATTATTAAAGACTTCAACATTTTAATTTCTTATTAAATCTTAAACCATTCTAATTTACTATTTCAAATATAAATGTTACAATACCATCTTCTGTACCTAGCAGAATCTTTCTTACAGAAGTTTATATTTCATCCTTTGTCCCTAAAAAAAATTCCTCTTCTCCCATCCAATTTTAAAACTTTGAGGCTTTTCTCCGCCTTTCCCCTTTCTTTCTTCCCCCACCAAATCTTCCTACCCCCCCTTCTTCTTCTAACCTCTACCTTGCTGGGATCCCTTCTCTGTTGTGTTCCCTTTTTCTCTTGTTTGCTATCATTATATTTACTTTGCATCATATTTCTCTCTTTCTCAAATGTTTTTTTAGATCTTAAGTCCTTCATTTTCCTTGCTCTCTTCCTTCCTTCTTCCTTAGATAAGTTTTGGGATTCAATAAAGATGGCGTCTTCATCTTTTCCTTGTTGTTGTTCTTCTGTTTCCATCTGTTTCATTGTCTGTTGGTAATTGACCAGCGCCATTTCTAGAAATAGAAAAGCTTTTTCCATACCATCTTTGCAGGCTGCTTTTGTTTGCTCATCCCTCAGGTCTTCAAAAGGGAAAGCCATTATAAATAAATCTTTTCTTTTCTTTATTCCTCTTTCTTCTTACACCAACCAAATATTCCGAGAGAAAGGTAAAACAATCCCAAAATCCACAATCCTCAATAAATCCAAGCAAGCCAAAATTCCCCCTTCCTTTTCCAGGGGTGGTATCAAACAAATAAAAAAAGAGTCCAAATCTATATTTTAAAGCCTTATTAAAATTATGTTTCTGTCCTCAAATCTTCAAGGCATCTCCTCCAACAAGATCCAGATTTATATATTTTCTTTATCCTCTCCCTTCCGGCTTAATTCCGTCGGGAGGGAGAGTAAACTTTCCTTTCAGCACCTCAAAATTGCCGCTTTTTTTCTCTTGTGGAAAAAATCCTCAAAAAACCATCTTTTCCAGGAATTAAATTAGATAAATCTCAAAGCCCTGGGTCGACCAAGAAGAACTTTCATTTTCAATAACTTTCTCTTCTTCCTCCTGCGCATACTTGCCCGGCTGCTGACTTCTTTGTGGCGGCCATTACGGACCGCCGCTGCACCGTCCTGGTAAAAGGGGGTTCTGCCGGCCAGGGAGGGGGTCTGCAACACCCCCAGACCCTTCCTCCGGATCCCCCTTACCTTCAGCTACCCCTGCAGGGCAGCCTTGCTCCGCACCCGTCCGGATCGGAGCCCCAAAACGGCTAGCGCGGCAGGGATCGCGCAGCTTCGCGAATCCCTACCGCTCACGAAGCCGACAAACCGGAAACCCCGAGCCCAAATTTTGTTTAAGTGAGTTTGCCCCACTTTATGACTTTTCTTGCCAGAGTTGTTAAGTGAATCATTACATTGGTTAAGTTAGTAACACGGTTGTTAAGTAAATCTGGATTCCCAATTCTCTTTGCTTGTCAGAAGGTCGCAAAAGCTGATCACATGACCCCAGGACACTGCAGCTGTTATAAATATGAACCACTTGCCAAGCATCTGAATTTTGATCATGTGACCATGGGGATGCTTGCAAGGGTCGTAAGTGTGAAAAACGGTCATAAGTCACATTTTTCAGTGCCGTTGTAACTTTGAACGGTTACTAAATGAACTGTTGTAAGTTGAGGACTACCTGACACAAGCCTTTCCATTTTATTTCATCCATGTATTATTTTTTTATTTATGTATTCATAAATAATTTATTTATGTATTTAGTAGCTAAAGTAATGTACTTGAAATTATTTTCATTTGCAGTTTAAAAGCTTTTTTTTTTTTGGTAATGAAGCCTATAACTTTAATGTTTTGCTTTTTTGAAGACCTTTCAGAAAAATGGATGAAGAAGGTTCTCTTCAGTGGGACAAAATAAACAAACTGGAAAAGGGGAAAATCTATAAACAGGTAAAATTACTTAATGATTTGTCTTTATTTCATGGGGTATTTTATACAGCTGACTTTCTGGTGTTAACTTCAAATATAAGGATGACCAGGAAAAATAATCTTTGTTACTTTCCTTTCTAATAACTTAATGTTCTATTCTATTCCATGTGTGTGTGTTTTTTTTATTTAAATTGTTAGCATCTCCTGATGTTAAAATTGAACATCTGAGATAATGAAAGGACAAAAGTTAAATAATGTATAGAGTCTGTGCTGGACAATTAACTTTTCTTCTAATTCAGGTCCACACCCTTTATTTTAAGATTATTCAGGCTCCATTCAGGAAATTGTTTTTTAATGTTTTCTTTGTAGACTTAACAGTCTGCTTCCTATTTTCTTTCCCCCAGGAATTAGTGTAATCCTGAGAAGGGGTGAGAAGATTGTTATGACTTGGAAGATGATAATGAAAATTTGTTAGTAATATACTTACAGAACTTCAGGTCTTATTTTGAACCAGAGCACTAATTTAAACCAAACCCTGGAAACATTTTATAGCTGAAGCAATAAAATGCTGAAATTTGGGGCATAGTGATTTCATGCTAATTGAACAGGGGTTTGAATCTTACTTTTATTTAGCCAGCAAGAGTCACTCACGTTGATAGAGACATGCTCCGAATTTTCCAGTAACAGGGGAAATGGGAGCTCTACCCAAATTTCCATTATAGACATCTCATTGACTGTTGTAGAGAGTCATCAATCCTGAAGTCAGGTTTGCACAGCATGGGATTCAGAGAGGGTTAATTAACAAAGCTTGCCTTCTGTTAGGGGAATCTCATTGAATCAGAAGCCTTCCATGGCTGGAAGAAGACCTTCCATCCGTGGGAATCTTGGAAAAAGATGAAGAAATGACGTATTTGCAAATGGGAACCCTCTGGGAATGAGGCTGGGAAACTAAAAACTACTTTAAGGATTCATTCCATATGTGATCTTATACATGAGCAGTAGATTTTCAGTTTGGAAATTATTTTGGCCTGTATCTTTATTTTTGTTCCTGTATAAGGAACTGTGATGTGGAAGTCAACAAATTAGCATTTTCAGATCACTGGGACCGTGGGTAAATGGTAGTTACATCTGGTTAACATTCCCGGTGAAATTGGCATAATGGTTCTCTGTTTTGTATCAAGCACAAAAATGTCTTTTGATTAGAGACAGAGATTTTAAACAGAGACAGAGAGCTTCAAGAATGACCATGATAGTTTTAGGCCTATGTTGAATGTGTTTTGTCTAATAATAAAAGAGGCAGCTTGACTTGGTTTCCCATTTTTAATACCTGGGTAGAGGGAGACTATATTGTGCTTTTGAATGTTTGTTGACAGGTCAGTGTTGGAATGCAATGGAGTGGAGTGGAGTGGAGTGGAATGGAATGGAATGGAATGGAATGGAATAGAATAGAATAGAATAGAATAGAATAGAATAGAATAGAATAGAATAGAATAGAATAGAATAGAATAGAATAGAATAGAATAGAATAGAAT